AATCGAGCACTTTACGGTAGCACAGTTTAACGAGGACCAATACCGCACACCCTCGGTCCCTACGCAGACTGATCCAAGTGGTCACCCACCCACACACTGACCGTAGCCAGTGATGCTTGACTTCGGTGATCTGCTGGGAACCGTGTCTTAACGATCAGTCCACTGCGGGACACGTGCATCAGTCACCAACTACACTGGGAGTCTTCGGCCGGTGGGGTTCGAACCCACGAACTTTCGTACATGGGCCCAGCGCCCTACCGACCAGGCTATCCCGGCCTAAAAACAATGTTTTCAAATAAACACCATTTGCAAAGCCCTAAGACGGTGCAGAGGACTAAATGAGCTGCCACCTGTGCAAATATAGTTTTATGGGTTTTATGGAATGAAGCGCGTTCTATTGACGAACCTAATTGCAAATTTTGAAATTTGGCAAGGAAAAAAATGTTTCCTAAATCGAACTTTCCGGCTCTTGTGTCAATAAACTTCCATGAACCAACCCAAACCGAAGTTAAACTATTTATTGCTATGTTATTTCATTTTTTACTCATTGATTTTTCAAATCGTCGTTTAATGTTTGGGTCACTTTCAACTAAAAAATATCTTTGGTAAATGTTAGAATAGCTTCGTCGGTTAAAAGGAAGATAAAAAAAAACATTACCTTTCGTGATTATGGCATTAAAAATTTTTTACTGTCGATAATATGTAAAATACACAGAAGTATTTTTTACCAAATCTTAGTAAATTCTCTTCGTCAATGCTAATTAAAATATTCTAAAGTATTTTTACCGAAATAAAATTTTAAATTGGTTTTGTTAATTTTACCTACAATATACGGAAGCATTTTTACCAAAATCTAAATGGTAAAATATCAGTTAACATTTTTACGTAAAATATATGAAAACTTTCTTACCAAAATTTAAATGGTAAATTTGCTTTCAAAATTATGTAAAACATACAGAAATATCTTTACGTAATCTAAATAATAAATTTTCTTCGTCAATATTACGCAAAATTTATCAAAATATTCTTACCGAAGTAAAATGATAAATTTATTTTGTCAATATTATGCGAAAGCTTTTTTTTCTCCAAAATCTAAATAGTAAAATATGTATAAGCATTATTACGTAAAATATACGAAAACTTTCTTATCTGAATTTTAATGGTAAATTTGCTTCGTCAATAATGAGTAAAGTACACAGAAGCATTTTTACTAATCTAAATTGTAAATTTTTTTTATCAGTCTTTCGTAAAATATACGAAAGCAATCTTACTGAAGAGTAGTTGGTAAAATCTGTTCCTTTAATATAACGTAAAATATACCAAAGCTTTTTTTACCAGATATCTAAATGGTAATATTACGTAAAATTTACGTATAAAACGCTTTGACTTTACTAATTTCTCAAAAATTTATGCTTAATTTACGTATCATGCTAACATGGGTTCTTACTAGCCTTAGATACCACGTAATTTTTTTCTGATCGGAGCAACCCTGCTTTAAATTGATTGCTTGTCAGGGAAGTTAAGGTGGTCGGTGAGCAATGTTGACCTATTTTCACTATTATAAGTTATAGGTGACAAATTGTGGAACTGTAATCTCCATGATCCAATTCCCGTCAATGGGTTTTCGATTTCTTACCTGGTTCTCCTACAGGTATGCCATCATCTCCTACTGGTAAGTCCTGTTGTACTTCTGGAGGTATGTAGACGGTGAATTTAGGGGCGGATACAGTTACCAGTTTGTCATGACTCAATTTCTGAGTGTGATCACCGTAGATGGCAGACAGGAGAACCACATAGTGAGTGCTCTCACTCAATCCATTCACTTGTTTAGTTGTAATGGATGGGGGCAAAGAGAATTCCTTTTCCAAACCTGTAAGAAAGACAGTTGTTAGTAATGCAAATTTATATAGTAAGTTCATCCAGCTGTTTAACCCCTTGGGGACGGGTGATTCAGAAAAGCATTCGTACAAAATCAGGATCAGGACGTAATTAAATAAAAAACGGTAACTTAAATGTAGTCGTTTCTAATTTGACAGACTTACTTTAATTGCTTCGAATTTAATTATTGTTGGTTTAATCATATATATAATCAATGCTAATTCAAAGTATAGCTAAATAGTTTTATTTTGAACAAAGGTGTATGATGAATTAAATAAATCAAACAATTATAACTCGTGGAAGAATTGTTGAATGAACTAATCCGCATATTTGTTAGATGGGAAGGAAAACCACGACAACTTCTTGCGGTTAGCCCGACGTCAAGGTAATTCTAATCCGTGATCCGTCTGCCACTGAGGATATTTCATATCAGCACTGTGATCGAGGCTAGCCAGAAGCTGATTTCGTATCAACCAGCCACCGCTGGGATTCGAACCTGGTAGGAGGCGAACGCTTTATCCCCTTCGCCATCACGGCTCAGATTCTGATGTTCAGGACAAGGAGAGACGGAGAAATAAAACGGCACGCTTGCTCTACTTGCTATTAATGCCCTGCTCAGTCTAATAAAATGATTTATATTTGCAAAACATTTATAGAACAAAAAAGGGTAGTACATGTTTCGTTCCCTTATTTATCACTTTAAGCTTTTATAAATGCAATGAGTGCCGATTTCAGATTCAAATATAAATATTAAATCTATTGTGGTAAATAAGTCTAACTTGTTTTTGCAAAATCAATCGTGATTGAAAACAATTGTGCTGCCACTTTTTTTCATTTTGGAAAGAAAAAGAGCAGTCCTTTTAAAAGGACGTTAGGCATGAATGAATTAATTTTAAAGCTAAAATTATTCAAAATATATAACTTGCTGTTGCAGTTAATCACTGTCTTTCTTTTTAAAGAAGAAAAAAAAAATTCAATTTTTTTTCGCTTTTGCTTTGGATTATAGGCGTCTTTTCAAGCTGATGAAATGTACTTTACATTATTTGATGTTTGTTTTTCATAAAAACAATCAAATTCAAGTAATTCATTTATCATTAAAAAGAAAGGAAAAAAACGAATATTTAAACACTGCTGTCTTTCCAAAAAGTACCATCTACCGCAAGTTACGGTAATTTGCTTCATAATACTACTTTTGAAAGTTTTAACCGTAACCTTTCAAAATATTTGAAATTTTTTGAATTACAAGACTTTTCTGTGTAATAGTAGTATTTTATTTACGTCGCACTAAAACTGCATGTTGGGTTATTGACGACGATCAGGGAAACATCCCTGAGGATGATCTGAAGACATACCATCGCGATTTTAATCCTCTGCAAAGAGAATGGCTCCGTGCCTTGGTATTCCAATGACCTGCATGAGAAGTGGAGCATTTTATGGTAAATTTAACGAAGACTGATACCTCACATCCACGGTCCCTTCACAGCCAGATCAAAATGGTCACCCGCCCGCTTACTGACCGATGCCAGTGTTCACACCGAAGCCGATGGTGTGTTATTGGAAACCGTATCTTAACGATCTGGGGGACGTACTCTGGTGAAAAGTTGAATAGAATGAAATTGTTGTTTTCGTACAGTGCAAACCGTAAGGCCATTAAAAATTCGAACTTACCATGTCCAGTTTGTGTGAGAGGCGTGAGTGTGAGTGAATAGGTGAAGAGTTTGAGATTTGGACCTTTAGGAATTGGTGGAGGCTTCCATGAGAGGTGGATTGATGTAGATGTCGTTTTCTCTACCAGAACCTCCAGAGGTGCTGACAATTCTGAAAAGAGATAGGAAAGTGATAGTTCTGGAATTAAAGAATCTAACATCGTAAGTTCAGTCCGTGAACACCTAGTTTTAAAATATTAAAAACCATTAGAATTGTAAAACTACTTGCTTTTAAACATTAACCTTTTAATTTAGGAACTAAATAACTACTCTCTAAAAAACAAAAAAAAACTTAAATGGGTTTTTTCACTTTCAGCGATTCCAACTTCCTCCGGACGGCGCATAAATATTTTCGAGTCTATTAATGTATGATATCCGGCAAAATAATGGCCTTTTAAAACCTTGTTGAGCCTAGATTGGCGAATATTGGCCCAATGAGTTCCAAAGTTATTTTTCTGATAGGGGTTCTTGGTTTAGTAAATTTGATTTATAGAGTTTTTACTCGCCACTGCTTCTAAATAATTCAAAGGCTTATGTGATGAGCCACTTAGTTACAGTTGATCCTCTTAAAAAAGTCAACAAAATTTATTGAGAAGCTACATATTTTAGTTTGTAGTTTTCCACAGATTTTTAAAATATTTGTCGATTCCGGAGCTGCTGGCTTCTCTGTTCACTTATTCCCCCCCCCCTCTTTTTTTTAAAAACTTGTAGTTGCTAATGTATTGCCTGGCTAAAATTTTCGGTTAAATTTGTTGTACCAGGAAGGGATAAAAAAAAATTGAAAATAAATAATATTTTTGGACATCTATAGAAGGGTTTTAAAAAACACACAATATAATTTATGAACAAAACAAATCAAGACTGCGTTAATACAATGAAGAGCTATAAAAATAAACAGGAAATGTTATTTCGATATTATATCTAATATGTAAATCATAGGCCAACATCATTATAGTAAATGTAAAAAATGATCATGGTTGATGAATATCGATGATTATGTTAAAATGTAAAATTATTTTGACGTTCATTCTAACGTTCGTTATAGTCTAATTATGTATTATTAAATTCACGTAGTAAAACATCTGAAGTCAGCAACAAAAAGTCGTTCCATACATAATGATGTAGTTTTAATATTTAACCTTTGGCACTCCAAAGTCACCCCCGAGTTTATACATCGAATGTCACCATTCTAAAACTTAACATTTTTATATCTGAATGTCAAGTAACCACGTTATTTTATGAATTAAAAACTCTATGTCTTACATTAAAAAACTAAACATATTTTACAGCACACCATTAACTACAACACTTCTAACTTCATATTTTAAATCGAACTTATCGGCGCAATATCCAATCCAGTTACATCCTTCTTATGCTGTCCTTATTACCATATACTAGTACTATAAACTAGTACCAAGGATGTCAGTATCCTCCTTCTCCAACTACAAATATTGGACGTGACAATTTAGATGTTAATTAAATGTCCTTCCAAGGATCGGTTGGGACTGCCTCCTTTGGTGGCAGGTGCCGAGATGTTTACAATGAATATAATTAGAATTTAAAGAATTTAAGAACTTATATAAAAAAATAGGTTGCAATGTAGTTTAAGTGATTTCCTGTTTACATTGGTTCAAAGAGTATATTAGAGTACTCGATACTTAGATACGTCGCACTAGAGCTGCACAATGAACTATCAGTGACATTCGGGGGTACATCCCTGAGGATGATCCGAATGATCCATCACAATTTGATCCTCAACTCGCTTTGGTAGCCAGACGGACAGTTAAGTACCCCAAGTGCAAAAGATTAATACACTAATAAATCATGGAAATTTAAATGACTTGGAATCGTTCGTACCTAAGATTTAAGAAAAAAAAAACCCTTAATGCATCATAATTACGAAAGCAAATTTAAACGTATATTTCTATTTAATAAACGTTATGAATCATGCTTTAAAATAAAACCCTTCTGGTTGTCCATTTCTTATAAATAGTGCGTCATTCGCGTATAACATTTAATATCTACTAATATCCCGAAATAAACCGCTCGTGGAAAATCAAACCGCAGTTTTTTCCCCATCATCAAGCTGATACTTGATTATCGGGTTGTAAATACAGCATAACACGATAACCCGAACTTATAACCAATAAAAAATGTTAATGTAGTTTTTTTTCGAGGACAATATAGTTTATGAAGAAAAAAAAAATAATGGTCTAAATACAAATTGCTCCATTAAGGAAGATTCTAGAGCTTTCTGAAAAATTAAAGAAGAAAAATGCTCTCGTTGCACTGCACAGAATCCAGGGAAATTAAGGCTGAGTAAGTATTTTAATTCATCAACATCAATTACTCCAAATTAAGGTCTTTCGTGCGGGCGGTACTCAAGAAGAAATATTAAGACCTTCACGAGTCTGCTTAGCGCTCTAAGTGGGTAAAAAACTCTCAGCCTTAAAAGCCTGTTAACAGATGAGAAGGGCATTTTTATGACGTTAATTACCCTATTATTTTCCATCTCTTTTAGAGAAAATTTTACTTGATCGCGCTGGAAATATCGTCAAGTCCTGCCAGGCTCTGCTGCAGACGAGCGTAATATTTGATTAGGTAAACAAAAGACTTTTTATGGTAATGGCCGAGAGCAAGATATAAAGCATGCGGTAACATGTGTCGCGGACGCTAAAGTATTGGAAGTCTGTTTATCATCTGGGAAGTAAATTGATTTAGAATGACTTTAACATCATAGGACTGAAAAGAGCTTAAGAGTAATCAATTAATATAGTTCTAGAAAATCCCGTTTATAAGTAAATTATAGTATTCTAAATATTATTAGGGGTATTACACAATTCATAATATAATTGTTCTTGACAGAAACTAAAATTTGGAAATGACGAAATTACAGAGTTATAAAAACGATTAATTAACATGGTTTTAAAAATGCTTGTCAAACATCAAATTATTCTATTTTAAATGTTATTTTTAGAACTATTAAATATTATTATACAGTTTATTATTGTTTGTAATAAATTGTCAGTTTCATTATTATTCATCGTTCCATTGTTTATGTGTCCTACACATCTGCTTTATTCTTCGTATAAGTCTTAAAAGCCTAAAAGCACACTAGAAAGATATTTTTATGACTCTAGTATTACTAAGATACTGCTGTTTAATTACCCTATCATTTTCATCTCTTTTCGAGTAAAATTTTATTTGATCGCGTTAGAAATTTCGCCAAGTTCTGTTATGGTCTGATGATTGTTTCGCTCACGAATGTTGTACAGTGTGCAAAATAAAAAAACGAACCACCCTTAATAGCTTTTGATTTAATGATTGGATCTTCACGTTCTAGGACTCAATCTTACTGGTCCGAGAGGGTGATCTCAAAAATACTAATTAATTAGTGCAGACGGTATTTTAAGTTACTAAATAGCACACTACGTACTTTCTCTATAAAAACTTGCTTTTCTCTCGACGCATTCGTATTTCGGACCTCAAAATATAGGGCATAGATGAAATCTGCGAAATATGGTCACAATAGTTTGGTCAGGAGAGTGATCCAAAGTTTGGGCACCTTAATTGTAAGTTTATCTTTTGCGTATTTCTACAAATCTCGAAAACTTTTTAAAAGAATTCAAAATTTTTTGCACACAATTATAAAATTCATTGATCCAAAGATAACTCCATGCAAAAAATAACTTTTAGTACCTATTTTTCTTAATTACTTTATATAATAACAGTCGAAAATTTTTTGAATTATAAGGTATACGATTTTTTATGTAATTTTTCAGTATGTAATTTTACATGGCAAAATACAAAATTTGAGAGAAATTGGTTGAATAGTTCCTGAGAAATCGAATTTTAAAAATCACACAATCAACTACATCCTGATTACCTACAAAATCCCCCAACTTGAACCCCATAGGAAATATGTGAGACTATGAATGGCTTAAACTTGATAAGGCGTACTTGAAAACTTTATGGATACATTTTCGAATCGAATACAAACGGTTGACAATCTTAGAACTGGAATTTCACGGTATTAAATAATGTTTTTCGAGATTTCTCTAAAGGAGATTATTTATTTATTTATTGAGAAATGATAGCTAAATATTATAGGACTATAAAACTATAACTTTCAGAATTCTGCGTAATTTTTCCGATATTTTAAAAGCCTCGCAATGAGAGAACTGGAAAAAAGCGGCGTTTCATATGAGCTTTTGAATCATTTACATGTATTGCTGTGGAAAAAAAAAGCATAAATCAAATTTTCAAAACTAAGAATCATACATAAAAACATAAATTCAGCTACCACTAGAAGAAATTTTCCACCAGAGCGTAAAAAGTTGACAGGCGTGGATCTATTCGGTTTAACGAAGTTTCGATATCATGTTAACCAGAATCATTTTAATGCTAAAATGCAGAACTTGAAAGAAATTGGACAAACAGTTCGTAAAATTTAAAACGAAAAATAAATGTAAGCAAAAATGTTCTTTCGTTTTAAAATTGTTTTCATTGAGAATTATTTAAGCTACCACTAGAAGAAATTTTCCACCTAAGTGTAAAAAGTTGACAGGCGTGGATCTATTCGGTTTAACGAAGTTTCGATATCATGTTAACCAGAATTATTTTAATGCTAAAATGCAGAACTTGAAAGAAATTGGACAAACAGTTCCTAAAATTTAAAACGAAAAATAAATGTAAACAAAACTGTTCTTTCGCTTTAAAATTGTTTTCATTGAGAATTATTTAAGCCATTTCTTACAAGTTTTTCAGTGTTGGGAATTAAGTTATTTTCACTAAAAGTATACATAGTTATTAATTTTAAAAGGAAATATTTTCACAACGTTGCTGCGAACGTAACATTAGGGAGAAAAAAAAATCGAACCCTTCTAATATGCGTGGAATATTTACGAGGCCGTAGTATTTAGAACAAAGCTATTAAATACGTCGACAAAATGGGGAATAAAGATTTTGGAAAAATGAATACAAAGGCATGCTATTATAGAGACACGCTATTTTAAAGAACCCATTAATGAAACTAATGGTTTATTTGTTCTGGAAACTGGAAGCTTAATTGCATATTTTCATTCAAGTAGTTCGTTCCATAATTTTATGAATGGGATGTCTTTGTAGTAGGGATAAGACTAAGATACTTAAAATATGTTACTAACTTTTCATAGGG